ATCACAGGAGCTAACACAGTTTCTTTTTTAATGTAGCATCCTTTTAGCGAATAATCGCGTATAATTTGTATTTAAAATGTATTTATATGTATAGAAGAAGGCACATAGCTTTGCTTGGGGACATGTGTTAAGCTTTTCTCGAGTATATGTGGGAAAAAAATACTTGGCCTAGCTCTTCAACTTAATACTAAGCTAGTAAGCTTTAAGGGTGCATATGGCTTGTTCTTCACAAAATTGTAAAAATTTATTAACAATATATGTCAATGAAAACAGTACTAACACTCCAATTGGCCCCATGCCAGGTCCTCCACCACCGTGTGGAATACAGAATGTCTTATGTAAATTCAAATGCGAAACATCCGACCCATAATCGCCAGGGCGACATAAGCCAACCTGGGCGTTCATATTAGCGCCATCTACATAGACCTGACCTCCTGCTTTGTGAATTAGGTCACAAATTTCTAGAACACTGTCTTCAAAAATTCCATTTGTTGATGGATATGTTATCATGATTGCTGCAAGGTCTTCGTGGTTCTCATCAATCTAAAAGACAAAACCATAATTTGTAACATGGTAAGCTGTCTATCACTATCAGTGACACCAACACCAAATCATCAACATCATCATCCCAAATCCATCACATCTTTAGCATCCTTATAATAACTTCATCTTCCCCAACACAACATCCTCCCTATCACCATATCATATCTTCATCATCTTCTATCATCATCATCTTTCCTACAATCATATCTTTACCATAATCATATATAATCATCTTCCCCACTGCTATACATCACTAACTTATCAGTATCTTCCCCACAAGCAAGCCTAATAAAAGTGTAAAGCTATGCGACCAACAGTTGGGAGGCATCTGCATTTCCCCAGAAAGCATTTAAGAAAGTCATCGTTGGGCAAGCATTATAGTGTATGTAGTGCTAGCTCATTTCATAATAATTACTACTCACCACCCCTCCCCCCCCCCTAAACTTACTTTCTTCTTGATGTCATCACTATCAATAGCACCATCATTAGAAACTTTAATTGCTTTAACCTTCATGCCTGCCATGTGGGCACTGGCTGGGTTAGTCCCATGTGCTGATGTTGGGATCAAACAAACCTTAAAAAAAAACAAATAGTACACAGTTACTTGACGGAACAATATACTACTATTACTACTGATATTTCTACCATCACTGTTATCTTATCGTCAAAGATTTTACTGTGTCTATTTTGAATTATCTCTGAAAATAACTGTCAATTTGTTATTATCACATAATTTGATACATAGAATTAGTACTTAACTACATGATGCCATACCATATGAAACCATATCATACTATACTATACTATCAATGCCATATTGTCATATTGTAGATACAGTTTGACCAATACAAAGTATTCAGGGGCGGATCCAGAATTTTTTAAACAGGTGGGGG